TAGAAACTTAATAGGTGCAAATCAATTTGATCTCTGCTCAGAAATGGCTCCTGAAATATTCTTTGCCAGTCCAGTGGATGGCCCAAGAACTTTAAAGGGGCTAACTTTAATGTTATTAAAGACCCAAAACCATGATGTTGCTCAACCTTTAACCAATTTGGTCAAAGACATAAATGTCAAAGATTCAAACTCCCATTCGCTCCACTGGGTATGAGAATAACCTGGTCATTATTCTAACAAATACATCAAAAAATCCTTTGGATCTGGCTTTCTCATATCCTCTTTGTAATTCTCATGTGAAAGATATTGAGATAATCACTGGTTTCCTGTTGGGCTTGGTGGCACGGAGCCAATTACCTTCCTGTAGAAGTGCTGGTCGTGTTCGATGGAATTGAACACTTTAAGAGTAACTTTCATGCCTGTTTGACAAACTGAATGTCTGCCCTCGATTTACAATTAACTTTTTACTCACAAATCAACCACATCCTTATTGCTGCTTTTCTGCATTGCAGGAAGCCAGAAACCTGAACCCCAGTTAACAGTTTGTTTACCAAAAGGTTTGTAGCTTTCAAATAATGAATACTGTATCTGTATTCCTGTATACTGTATGCAAGTCTTTATCATAATGGGGCTCTATCACATGTTTATCTTCAACACTAATGATCCTTTTGTTTATAATGGGAGGTTGAAAATTGTGAGGTGACAATTATCCCGGCCTTCACAAATGCAATCAAAGAACTGATTTGTATTGACTGGCTGTGTGCGTGGGGGAGGTCACCAGAATAAGGTGTCAGTGGTGCATTATAGCAGATCCAATCAGCTTTTGTCAACTACACACTTGGGAGCATGACTTGTGCACTAGCACAAGAGTGAGTTTTCAATCTAGGTTTGCCAAGGGTGTCATTTTTATACTGGTGAACTCTTCTTGATAAGAAAGCATGCGGGGTGTAGGGCTGGGATGAGTAAAACTGGCACACAGAGCTATTTCTTCAGGCACACAGATCTGTGGAGCTGCTTGTGCAATCAGGAGAAGATTAGAGTCTTCACCTTGGGAGTTTTGCGTCTTCCCACCTAACTCGGATCTCCATTTTCCCTCACACATCCAGCAATAATGCTTTTTGATTGGATGGCTGAAGCCAGTTATGATTGATTAATACATTTTCCAAAAAAATACTGTTAAGACTGAGTTAGTCCAATTATATTCTAAATGCTTCTATTATGTAAATAAATAATCATTTAATTTAATGCCTTTCATGTCAGGAGGGCCTTTCAAAGCGGCTCTGAGTCACAAGGTTATGGGTTCAGGCCCCACGATGGGACTCCAATGCAGTGCTGTGGGGGCGTGTTGCATTGTTGGAGGTTGCCATCCTGTGACTAAAACATTAAACCATGACACTATTCGAAAAGAGAAGGGCGTTTCTCCCTTTGTCCTGGCCAACAATCTCCCAAATAAAAAATTCTCATTCACTTCATGGCTGTTTGTGGGACACGGCTTTGCAAACTGGCTGCTGTGTTTCACCAACAAACACAGAATTAATCCACTTTACAGTATATCCTGTGAAGCACTTTGGGATGTCTTGATGACGTGATAAGTCGCTGTATCAAATGCAAGGATTATTACTCATCTTAAAAAGCTTCTCTACCCTGGTATAGTGAATAGCTCTAGGGAAGAATTCACTGAAAATAGAGCACTTGTGGAGTATATTAAACTGTACTTAACAGCTCATAAAAGCAATGAACTCAGTGCCAGATTTCCTTCAGAGGCTTTGATGCTATCCTGTGTGTGGATACTGTAAGGGAAGTCCACTATGTTTCAGACATCGGGGATATTGTCTCTTTGAATCTGCAGTGGAAATATTACATTTTTCATCACTTTCTGAATAAATTGCACAATCAATTCCCAAATCTTAAGAAGTGAAGTCTTAAGACTTGGGAACGAACTTTGTCCCACCTGAAATAGAACAATGTACACGTGGACATTCCTCACTCACATAAACTACATGGAGAACTACACAGAATTGTGAAGTCTTGTAGTGTAGTACTTAGGGCATTCGCCCTTAAGAGACAGAACTTGGGTTTGATTCCCGACAGAGCCAAACGTTAGGCAAGTTTCCTTATTCCACATGTCTCTGTTTACCTAGAAATATGTAGGAACCTGGTTGTTAGGCGATTGGTGGATCGTTTTCTGGGGTTAATAATCTCTTCAAAAAATAATAATAATAATAATTTGGTCATTCAATCCACGACTGTTTGTGGGCAAATGCTGTGTGCAATTGGCTGCTGCGTTTTGCACACAAAATATACTGTAAATTCACTTTACAGTATGTTCAGTGAAGCACCTTGAGACGTCTCAAAGACATGATAAAATGCAGCATTATTATGGTGATGCGGCAAAAATACACCAGACTTCATAGCAGCAAGTCACATACATGTGACCCTTTCCCCTCCCAGCCTGATGCAAAGCAGGTAATTACTGTATTATCAAAAGGTCTAATATCATGTTTCGTGTACCATTGATTATCCACTTCGTCCTAGAAGTATATAACTAACTTTATATTTGCAGTATCAGTGCAAGGTAATATAATAATCTTTGCATTTGATATAGCGCCTTATCATGTCGTTGAAACGTCTCAAAGAGCTTCACAGAATACACTGTAAAGTACAGTGAAAATGCTGTGGGTGAAATATGGCAGCCATATGTGCACAACAATGATCCACAAACAGCCATGTGAGCGACCAATTTTATTTGGATGATTGTTGGCCAGGAAACTGGGAGAAACACACATCTCTTTTCAAATAGTGCCATGGGATCTTTAACGTCCTCAACAGGCAGACGGGACCTCGGTTTAACATCTCATCTGAATGACGGCACCTCTGACAATGCAACACACCCCAGCACTACAATGGATTATCAACTTTCACTATGTGATTCAAGTCCTGACTTGAAACCATGACCTTCTGACCCAGAGGCAGGACTGAGAGTCCCTGAGTCCTACCACTGAGCCATGCTGGCACAGGTAATTACAAATACAGATGCCATCAAGTTAGGGGGAAATGTGGAATTCGGAGGAGATGGTTAAGATCTTACAAGGAGAGCTAGATAACGTTTACATCTGAGCTATTACCAGCAAATTAAATTCAGTACAGGTAGGAAGTAAGTTTGGGGTTGATGTGGGTAGGATAGAACTTATGAAGGAAGAAGCTGAACAAAACTAAGGGATCTTGGGTCTTGCAATGTCCAAACAATATGCGGCAGCAATAAACAAGGCAAAAAAGATCTGAGCTACGCTGCCAAATCAGTTCAATTCAGTTCCCCAGAAATGATGCTCAAGATGTACAGATCTCTGGTCAAGTTGCACCTGAAGTACTGTTTGTAATTCTGAGTTGCCAAAATATAAGAGGGCTGCCCAGGCCCTAGACAGAGTGCAGAAGAGAACAAGGATGGCCTCCAGTGTTAGAGGGTTGAGTTACACGGAACAATTAGATAAGCTAACGCTCTTCAACAGTGGTGCGGGGGCGGGGGGGAATGATCATTAGTGGTGCTATATTCCTATCGTTCTCCGTGCTGTCTCATACTTCCTGCTCCAGCTCTCTTCCCATCATTCTCTATGCTGTACAATTTGGTACAATTACTTAATCTTATGAACTGAAAAGGACAAACTAGATTGTGGTGCTACAGGGAATAAGAAATGGACAATCATGGGATTCCAGTTGTAAAGCTCTTAAAGAGACAAGCATTTAAATAATTGTACCAAATGGGTCACCTAGTATGCACAAAACATAAACCTAAAATGTTTCTTTGTAGTGTACAAACTTTATAAGAATCTTTCAGGATGGAAAAAATCTTTCTCCATCCCGAATACACTGAACCATAAAAAACAAATTGTAGGTGATTTTATGTACTAATGCTCTTAGATTCATGGGTCATTAAATATTGGTTTTGTTAAACCCCTGCAGTTATAGTTGACACATTTAACAATAAGAACTGCTAAAAAAAAGTCCTCACATTCCACTCCTACAGACTGAACTCAATAAAAAATAAACTGATTTATTTCATTCATGAAAATGTAATGACGTATACTTTGAAAAAAACTCACTAACTGCCATTGTGCACACATCATATCAGTTTGCCTTAAGCAATTTTGAAAACAGATTGGTGAACATGAATGCTTTAGAGTTAACCACAGCAATCATCATAAGAGACCACGACAGAATTGGTGCTTTCTTCTGTGATGAAACACAGATTAACTGTTAACAATAAAGTATATGTACGATAATGTCAATGACAAATTGGGGTATGGCAGTCGTTAGGCATGTTTATTATAACAAGGGTTACAGAAAGAACTTTTACTATCTGTGTGGTCTGCAGAGCCAAAAAATGAAAGGTGTTTTGACTGGGATTTGAAATGTCAATACATGAGCCACAAGATATTGTTCATTTAGTACAACCATCCCCTGCAGAGCACACCACGATTGTGTGTCAGTTGCTAGTACTTTCACTTATGAATCAGAAGGTTGAGTTTCAAGCCCCATGTCGGGACGTTCAACTCTGATAGTCTTGGTTGACCCTTCAATGTAGTGCAAGGGGGATGTTGCATTATTGCAGGTGCATTAGTTGAGATTTTAAACCTAGGTCTTGTTTACATGTTCAGGTGGACATTAAAATTCCATTATAATCCTTGCATTTTGATATAGTACTTTTCACGTCTTCTAGATGTCTCAAACCGCTTCACAGAATATACTGTAAAGTGAATTGACTGTAAATTTGTGGGCGAAACGCAACAGCCAATTGCGCACAGCAGTGTCCCACAAACAATCGTGGACTGAAGTGACCAATTTATTATATTTATTTAGTTAGTTTTTAATCAAAGGTAAGGATTTTTATTAATAACAAGGCCAATTCTCCATCATGAAGTAAGAGTTTTATTTTTACAAATTAAATATATAAAACCACAGCAAATTACATCATCTTCTTTCTCATAAAAGAAAACCCCACTTGCCTTTTTACTGGTCCCCTCTCTCTTGTAGCACTGGCTTTGGGGAAATACCTCAAAATTGGGAAATAAAGGTTAATATGTTTACATTTATAAACCTCTTAAAGGGACAAGCATTCAAGTAATTGTCCCAAATGAGTTGCAAAATATGCAAACCTAAAACGTTGCGTACAGAATGTGGATTTTACGACTGGCTTTTTATTTGGTCCATCATTTCATGTGACTGATCTCTCCCTTCCTGCGGGAAGAAGTTCCCTTAAATACCATACATTATATGAATAATTTGAGACATGACAAGTGTAGTACGTTTGGAAGAACTATGCAACTTTTGATCCAAGGTTTCCAAAACTTTCCACTGTGATGGTAGATTAATCCATACAGAATTCATCGCCATCAACATCTCCATTATGGTAGTATGCAACTACCAGGATGGTAGAAGCCGGACTAGATGGACCTTGTCTTTTTTCGTCCAGCAATTCTTATGTTCTTATGTACCTTCTCAGCTGAGTTGCTGACTTTTAATAATTGTCCTGGCCAGCTTAGGCTTAGCCATTTAAGGTTTCTTCAACTCCAGTTTCCCTCAATGGCACATTGGCACTGTGACACCCCCACACTCCAGTCCACGGTACAAATTTACTTACTGCCTTCCCCTCACTGCGTCTGAGCATCAAAACTACCACAGATCTACCTTCCATTAGATACAACTGTTGTAAAATATCTCAACAATCATTTTGGTTGCAGAATTAATTTATTGCAGTGAACAGGAGAATACAGAACTGAAGCATTGAACTCAACAACTCACAGACACTAGAATCTGAAATACAGTGTTAGCCGGTATTTTTTCCATAATGAACATTTTTTTTCTCTTTCATCTGACTCTAGGGCATAGAGATGTATCCATTTCTGTATTGCTTTTTCAAAGCAGTATAGATGGTATCTTGAAACATAGTCAATTGACTAAATTATTCTTATTCTCCTGACCAAGGATATCTGGAGAACTACCGTCTCTTTTTATGAACAATAGCATAAAATTGTTGTTGCCCACCTGAAAGCAGGTAAAAAACACTTTGGTTTAATGTGTCATCTGAAAGACGGCACCTCCAACAATCAAGGGCTTACCCCAGTACTGCACTGTAGTGTCAGTCTAAGATCTCCGATGTGGGTCTTGAACCTGCAACTTGCTCACAGGTGAGAATTTTACCAGGAGCCAAGCCGACACACAAAACTGTTTAACATCTTCCAAAACTACGAGGTTTTTGAGGTGCCAAATGACTTTTAATGTGTTAAGAATGGAGTACACAAATGATTTCGAAGGCCCAAGTAAACAATGCCCTATATCACAAAAGCATTGTAATCTAGATTTGTTTCAACATGCAAAAGTTCAGAGAAATAATAGGGCCCACAATAGTAAGTGCCTAAACAATGAAACAAGTTTAAGTGATTACTTAATAGACTTACTGAGAAATAATTTTGCAATAGATTAAGTGGTAGATGTTCATTTAAAGACTCCTTCCAAACTCCTTCACTATGCTAATAGCAAATCTATATTTTGTTGCTTCCATTGATCTCAATTTAATTACACATTTATTTGCAATTGATATTCTGAAAAACAGTTGTGCTCAAGTTGTGGACTGTATAATCATCTCTATAAATAATAATAAAATTATCAGTCTCAAATTGCAAGATGTATATTTAATTTGCTAATAGAATTCATGTAACAAGTAAATATGCTCAATTTAAACTCAGTGGTGTGTGACAGTATAAAATGTTCATTTGAAAGACATAAACGTAAATAGGGAAAAAAATAGCACTCCAAATCAAACTCCTGAATTAAAAGTCCAGACGATATATTACATATCAGTAGGTAATTGGTACAAAGTAAAACATATAGAAATCTCATTTGATCAAACAAACCTGCACCTTCAGCACAGACAGTGGACAACATATCTTTTCATGAATTCTAGCCCAAATATTTAACTTTCTGGAGGAAAACTGCACAATTGCTCCCCAATCCCCCAGAAGTAACAATAATAATAATCCTTACATTTGATATGGAACCTTATCTCGTCTTTGAGATTTCAAAGCGCTTCACAGGATACACTGTAAAGTGAATTGACTGTATTTTGTGGGTGAAACGGAATGGAGGATTCGGAGATTGACATAATGACAAATCATGAATCCTAAGTCAACAAAGTCCAAAAGAAGGCTAGCAACCAGGGTTTGGCTCATCAGTCTTTTTTTACTCTGCAAGCTCAAGAATCTAAATAAATTGTATCTGTTGGGTTTTAGACCCTAATGTCAATTTCAGGACTTCTGGTTCTTCTGCGCATGATATGTCTCTAAATGATTGTTTAACTTATGAGGTGTTTATAAGGTGGATTTGCACCAGTTCTTTGATCTTACCCTGAGGTAGTTGAGGGTGAAGTTTGTTAACCCCATGCGGGTGATGTTTTTGGACAGTTGCTCCAGCACCTGAGGATCTTGTGCCTGAAAAGAACATGAGGATAGAAAGAATAGCATTTGACAAATCAAGAACACACAACAGGAGGTTCAAACTGTATCAGCTACAATCCTCTTGAGGGGCATGTAAAAAATAAGTCAGGAATAGATGTTTAAGTACACTGTAGTGCCTTACCAGACAACAACTTGCATTTATATAGCACTCTTCGAGTAGCACAACATCTTGGACTTGAGCGGTGAGAACAGATCCAAGTAGATGGGGAGGGGCAAAGGGGGAAGATAACCATTGGAGCAGTCGAAGAGGTGGGTGTTAATAATAATAATAATCTTTGCATTTGATATAGCACCTTATCACATCTTCGAGACGTCTCAAAGCGCATCACAGAATATACTGTAAAGTGAATTGACTATATTTTGTGGGCGAAACATTAAGTTATGTTCAAAAGGGATGAGACGGAGGGTTTAATTTAGTTTAATGTAATTAAAATTTAATTTAATTTAGGGTTTAATGAGATGGAAGCGGGAAGATTGGGGGGTGGGGGTGCCGGGTGTGACAAACCCTTGGTGGCCAGACAGAGGGGGCGCTCGCCAACACAGAACTTAATTTAATAAAGAGATCACATTAAATATATATACCCAGTAACCTATCATACATTTGCCTCCTGAGTATGGAAGGGGGGCTGGGGGGGGAGAGTGGGGGGAGGATGCATTATATAGCAACATTTTTCCAATCGCCCTGTTGCAACTGTTCTTCTTCATATACTCTGCTTTCTTCTCAGTGCTGCCCACATTCAGAACAGTGTTTCTCCAGTCAAGCAATGGCAGCAACGATTTACTGACTTCATCAGGAAATTAATGGTTTAATAAACAATGTGGAGAAGCAGCATCATAGCCATCAACAGTCTGACTAGAGACACCCTTCCATGTCAGGAGGAGAGAGGCCACTCATATGTCTTCTTTCAATGTAATTGAGGAGCTGTAGCCTCTGATGAATTCTCTGCTGTTTACAAGCTGTTTACAATTCCATTGTTTTCTCACCTTAGTTACATAAAGTCAGAGATAATAATAATAATAATCCTTGCATTTGATATAGCGCTTTTCACATCGGGAGGACGTCCCAAAGCGTTTCACAGAACACACTGTAAAGTGAATTGACTGTATATTTGTGGGCGAACGCGGCAGCCAATTGCGCACAGCAATGTCCCACAAACAGTCATAGATTGAAAATGACCAATTTATTATTGGTTTTTGTTTTGGAGGGATTATTATTAGGTGTGTGGAGTAAGGAAACTTGCCCAAGGTTTCGCCCTGCCTGGAATTGAACTCAGGTCTCTCGCTTGCAAAGTGAGTGCTCTAACCATTGAGCTACAGGACTCCGAGATGAAGCTCAACGCACAGTACATCCTTAAAATAACTTTCAAGAAACAAAATGATCACATTACAAGTCAGCATGGAAATGTTTACAGTCTGGCTACCTCCTGAATCCAATTAGTCAACAACTCTACTGAAATGAATATCTGATATTTCTGTTAAGGGTCAGCCTGGCTCAGTTGGTAACACTGTCATCTCTGAGTTAGAAGGTGGTGGATTCAAGACTCATGTTGGGACTTTGAATTTATATAGACTAAGCTGACACTCCAATGCAATACTGTGGGAAGCTCCCATTGGCTCCATTGAGTTTCATGGGACTGGCTGCCTTGAACTTGCCTTGGGCTTCTCTCAGTTTGAACTAACAATATTGTGCGGGTCCACAGTAACTTGAGCAATCCTGGCTGGTTTATCAATAAGAGTTGGAAGTATAGGCACATCCTCCAATCTAAGCTCTAAAGGGTAGGGTGTTTCAAGCTAGAATACTGCTGTGAAAATCACCCAGGCTCTATCAATCCACAGGAACTCAGCATCAACCAGATATTGTACAGGACCTAAATCTTGGGCTTCCTTGCAGGAGTCACACTTTATGCCCTGGGAGCTTCCTCCAGCACTGGGGTTATAATTCTGCTTCTATCTTCTGATGATTTCATTTTGAACCACAATAAGGGAAAGTACATTTCAATAGAAATTATCCATCTGGACTTTCCAGCCCTTCCCTCCCCACCACCATATCAATTTAGCTGTTCAATGAGTACTCATTTACATTACACAATCACAATGTGACTTTCTGCTTGACATCAAGGTCAATTAACATGGGAATAAATCAGAAGAGATTGTGTAAAGTCTACTGAGGAAAAAAGGAAGAGAAATCTGGGAGAGCACAACTTTGCTAAAGGAGACTAATTGTGATGTTAACAGTGCAAAGTAAACACCAGAGAAAACTATAGGTACAGTTCAAGTAGATGCTAAACACTGAACACTAAAAAGCTCTTCCAGCATCATAACAGCAAATGTATTCACTAGAGACATGAACTTATCATCCAATCTCTGCCACAGATGTATTTGATATGTTATGGGTAGTATAGCAAGAGTCAGAGAAGATAAATCTGGGGCTTGGGCTTTTGTTAAGGAGAATCCCTAAACCCTGGGGTGGTTCTGCAGAACTGGAAGCAGCAAACATACTTAAAATGTGACAAAACTCATCAGAGTTGAGTTCATGCGGGTCAACAATGGAATTCCCTGGAGGAGACACTTCTTCCATGGCCACCTACGCTGTTATTTTCCGATGAGCAATTTTTAAACCTCAATTAGAGTAATTTTAAGAAGCTAATAGAATGCTGAGTATATATGTAGTAAGCCGGACCGCGCCTAGGTTACTCTGTGCAGATGTAGTCCACATGGTATAAGAAGGATAGATTGACATAAAAAATATGCAGCAAAGCTTTAATAGAATTCACATTTATATAGTGCCTTTCACAACCAGAGTATGTCACAAAGCACTACACACAGCTGGCTGGAAATGTGCGAGTGGAGGGTTGAGTTGAAGAGAGTGATTGGGGGGTTAAAGAAGTTATTCTTAAGGCTTAAGTGTTGATAAGTTAGGATGAAAGGCTAGGTAGACTGTTATTATTTTCCTCAGCACAGAGGAGGTTAAGAGGTGATTTGATTGAGGCATTTAGATATAATGAAAGGAAAACAGGCTAGATAGTGGGTGAATCTTCCCCTTGGTAGCAGGATCTACAGGCTTAAAATGAGAACAAGGACAGTTAACATCAAAGTCAGGAAGCATTTCCACACAAAGAGTTTATGAAACTTAGGGATGTTTTACCAACCAGCCCGCTCCCTCCGCTCAGCCGGCTCTGGCCTGCTCCACATCCCCCGACCCACCCACCCCACCATTGGCAGGAGAGCCTTCAGCCACTCTGCCCACAACCTCTGGAATTCTATCCCCCAGTCACTCCGCCTCGCCCCCTCCTTAGCCTCCTTCAAGTCCCGCCTCAAAACCCTCCTCTTTGACCATGCCATCGGTCACCCCCCTTCCCCTCCCCCCCTCCCTGACCCCAGCTCGGGTCTGAAATGCTGTACACTGTTCAGCGCCTTGGGACGTCCTCTCGATGTGAAAGGCGCTATACAAATGTAATCTTGTTGTTGTTGTTGTGCCTCAAAAAGCTTTAGAGATGGAATTAATAGAGATGTTTAAAAGAGAGAGAGGTACTTGAGTAGTGGAGGAATTAAAGGGTATGGGAAAGGAGAGGCATTGGGATGAAAAGATAGACCAAGATCTACTAAACTGGTCAAACAGGCTCAATAGTCTGAAATGGCCTCCTCTTGTTCCTGTGTTCCTATATTCCTATGAAAAGGACAAGAGTACTTGAAGTGCAACAACAACTTGCATTTATATAGCATCCTTCACTCAGGTAGCATCAGCGGTGTGGTTTGGATAACTGGGGATTCAACCTGATGCCAACACCTTGTTGGTGTCAGGTTTGGTGAATCTGAGGGATAGGCAGGGAAGGTTAAGGAATTCAGCACCTTGGGACGTCCTCCCAACGTGAAAGGCACGATGAAATGCAATTTGTTGTTATTCAGAACTGCAGGTGATAAGATGTTGACAGGAGCCAAGGGTTCTATCTTGTCCATGTTCAGCTTTAAAGGGATGATCTATGAAATAGATTAGACAAGCTTAACTTAACCTTTATAGTCTGGAAAGAAGACAGTTTGAGCGGAACCTTATTGAAGTATGTAAAATAGTTAATGGATGGCATTGATAAGATAAATCTAGACTATTATATTAAAGTAAGTAACAAAACCAGGACCTTAGGACATAAATAGAAATCTGTGAAGTCACATTTAGCTAATATCAAGAAAGGCACTATACAAGTCAAAGGTGTTGCAGCAAAAGCAGCATGACATTAACTTGATCCTACCAGGGGGAGCTACCATTTGATTTAATATCAATCAGTCAGAGGATGGTAGAAAAGATTCTAGGTAGAGTACACTTTGGAAATAGCAACCAAAATATGATCGAGGATAAATACGTGGATTGAAAGTTGATTGCATCACAGGAGGCACTAGATAAATGTCGATGGGGCCACATTGGCATGGATGGAGGTAACTAGCAAGTGCCTTGGGAATCAGCACTAGGGCAATGCTATTTACACTGTACATAAATGATTTGAAACAAATCTAAGTTTGCTGCTGACAACAAACTACAGGGAGTTGTAAATAACGGAACAGGCTGTCCAGAAATAGAGGGAGTTGATCTGACAAGTGACAAATTCCATTTAATCTGGGGAAATCTAGAGTGGTGCGATTGGAGAATGAGAATAAGTAATGGAAGATAAATTGAATTGGTCTACAGGAATCAAAACAGAAGAGGGATTTGGAGAACTGGAGGATTGATCGCTGAAACCGTCAGCACACTGTAAAGAAGCAGTAAAGAGATCAAGGAGTGTATATCTGAAAGGGATAGAACACAAATGATATGGACCTTCTCCATTGCCTTTACATCACTTACTAGGTATGGTGCCTGGAAATGGACAGAGTTCTTGAAATGGAGATGCACCAGAGTACGGTATAGTGTCCAAATAAATTCCTTCAATTTGTAGTCTATTGCCAGTACATTGTCTATTGTCAGTACTATTGTCTATGGTCAGTACTATTGTCTATTGTCAGTACTATTGTCTATTGTCAGTACTATTGTCTATTGTCAGTACATTGTCTATTGTCAGTACTATTGTCTATGGTCAGTACTATTGTCTATTGTCAGTACTATTGTCTATTGTCAGTACTATTGTCTATTGTCAGTACATTGTCTATTGTCAGTACTATTGTCTATGGTCAGTACTATTTTCTATTGTCAGTACTATTGTCTATTGTCAGTACTATTGTCTATTGTCAGTACTACTGTCTATGGTCAGTACTATTGTCTATGGTCAGTACTATTGTCTATTGTCAGTACTATTGTCTATTGTCAGTACTATTGTCTATTGTCAGTACATTGTCTATTGTCAGTACTATTGTCTATGGTCAGTACTATTGTCTATTGTCAGTACTATTGTCTATTGTCAGTACTATTGTCTATTGTCAGTACTATTGTCTATTGTCAGTACTATTGTCTATGGTCAGTACTATTGTCTATTGTCAGTACATTGTCTATTGTCAGTATATTGTCTATTGGGGAGCCAGTGCCTTCAGCATCAAAACTCTGGAACTCCAGCTCAACCCCTCCATCTTACCCCCTCCCTCCCTCCCGCTTAAAGACCTTCCTTTATGATCATGCTTACGGTCACCTTCCACCTCCCTCTCTCATTGTCAGACTCCGCCACTGTCAAGTGCTCCGGGATGCTATCCCAGCATCAAGGGCGCTATATAAATGCAAGTTGTTGTAAAATAAATGCAAGTTGTTGTAAATGCAAGTTGTTGTTGTACAGTTAATCTCAGTATTAATGGCCCTGCCAATGATTAGCTCATACTGTTTTTTTAAGGCTTTAAAGTACTGAGTTCAATTCTATATGCCATATTATAGTAGGAACATCTTGACATCAGAAAGGGAACAATGAACATCAATTTGAGTTGAAAGCTGCATATACTAGAATTATGAGGAGAGACTAGAGAATATGAGAATGTTCTTGCTGGAGAAGACTCAGCAAGGTCCCAATGAAGTATTCAATATTCTAAAGGACATTAATGAAGATCTTACTCACAAATAATAATAAGGGGCACACACTCAAGCTCAGAAAAGGGAAGGTGAACAGACAGTTTATTCTACACAGAAAGTGGTAGACAGATCTCGGAAATGGACTTTGCAAGGAGGGAGTCGAGACAAACTGTCGTTAAATTCAAATGGATTTTGGATACTTATTTGCAAACAAAGTGAGTGAGGGGTATACGAGACAGAGTGGTGTAGCTTTTTTTTGACAAAAATTGGAACTGGCATATCTGCATTTGCATATTTGTCCCAGCGCCTAAGGACATCATCCTGACATGAAAGGCTCTATACAAATGTAATTTTGTATTGTATATTTTTATTGTGACCCTCACTTCTGGTCAATACCTTACCTATAAGGTTTTCTATAAATGTATCTGACTTTCCTATAAAACTGACTACCACCATCACGGGAAACAAATATTTGTTTATCAAAGTGGTCTATTCTTCATAAAATGCACAGATCTAAAAAAAAATTCCCTTTCTGTTTTCTTTCTTGCCCTCCCCATTAAAATCCACCTAAAACATCTGCACAATATTAAAGAGAAATAGATCAAAGAAGATGGAAAGAGAACAATTGGTTGAACAAAGGTATGTAACAAGCTATTTGAACGCATGAATCACAATAAGTACCAAAATGTACAACAATAGCTTGCCTTCCTAACAGTCTGTTTAGCCTGACATTGGTGTCCATTGGTTTGAAGACAAGTTCCACTGGAATGGACCTGGTACAATCCACTGGGACGGGTTTTTTCTTGATCATGAATCTCAATTATTCTAGTTCTGATAGCTGCCTGTACGCCATGATTACTGATGCCTTTTCATGCTTCGAGACAGGATGCTACAAAAAGTGCACAGCTAGCATTTGCTTGGGAACTCCCAATGTATTGAGCGGATCATTAAAAACTGATGTTGGTGCCATTCTTGTTACAAAGCAAAACAAGGAGATTCTTTTCAGTTGATTCTTCTACACATCTAATTATTTTTAGTGATGAAAGCCGCCACATTGTTCAGCAATTATTCCCTGTCCAACCTTCCCCTGTGCATTGAAAATTGGAACCACTGGGGAATGAACCCGGCTGAATGGCAAATTAAGATAAAAATGTGCTCTTGACTTGGAAACCAAGCAAAATAGCAGGATTTGTGGAGAAAAGGAAACTCTGTCTCTGCTCGTGCAGAAAGAGATTTTTAAAAATTGGCATGAAAATCAAAAATAGCTCTGAAGTGTACGCTCATTGAACATCTATGTCAACTGGTTTGAAGTTAAAAAGTACGGTGCTTATAAGGGGTTTATAAGTGACTATTTCTGACTTACAAGATTCCTTAACGAGGAAACCGCAAGTACATCTCATTGTCTCCATTCTGATCCAATCTACTCTAGGAGCAGAGTTCTTGCGCTAACTATATCTTCAAATGAGGTGCCTCTGGTTAATAATCGGAGTTCCAATGCTGAATCCTTAAGTAAGGAAATATTAGTTCCTTAAGTAACACTGACAAAAGCAAGATGCGGAAAAATTGCTGAGAATCCCAATTGAATAACTAAATAAAAACATCTCAATTGAAATCATTGCATATTAGACCCTATTACCAAGTTAATAAGATGTCCATAGAGTTGTTTTATGTTTAAAATGTTATTACTTTGCACACATTGTATAATATAAACGTTCTAGCGGGCTTCTTGGCAGTATTTAAAGGTTTGCTATGTCCCAATTATAGTTTTGATCCCAAATACCTCCTAAGATACCTTAGTTCTTGTCTTGCTCTAAGTAGTGAGTGGTACATTTTGAATGTTAATGAACAGCAATCACTGAGGTGCTTTGCCAGAGCTGTCATTTTGTGTCAGATCTGGTGCTTTGAGACAGGTCAATTGGGCAAGAGGGAGTCTGAGCTGGGCTGGGACTGGAGCCTGAATGGGAATGGGAGACAGAGTCTGAGTTGGGGTGGGAGTCGGAATCTAAGTGTGAGCTGAAGCTTGAGCGTGAGTGTGAACACTGCCAGGAAGCCAAGGCAGAGTCTATAATAATAATAATCCTTGTGTTATCCTGATGTGAAAGGCGCTATACAAATGTAATTTGGTGTTTTTGTTGCATTTGATGCAATGCTTTTCATGTCAGAAGGACATCTCAAAGCACTTCACAGGATATAATGTAAAGTGTAGTGACTATTTTGTCGGTGAACATGGCAGCTCAGTTTGTACACAGCAATGTCCTAGCAATAGCTATGAAGTGAGTGACCACTTTTATTTGAGGGTATATGTGGGAGCCGGAGACTGAGTGGAAACCAGGGCTGGCGTTGGAGTGGGCCCTGGCACAGTGTATAATACACAGTAATTACTGAACATCCTTTTCCTTAAAATGTCAGGGTGACCATTATACATCTATTTTGACATGAAACAAATTTTATCAAAACCACAGAAGTTTTGGCCCAAATCTGGGAGTCAACTGGCTGAGCAAAGGAGGACCACAATCAGCTATAACCAAAAAAGTTGAGAATAATTGCCAAGCAAGGATAGGGTTGTTGTTCTCTTACTCACATACTAATATCCAACACCGAACAAGTAGACATCTGGCAAGTCCATCTCTGAGTGCAGTGCTCTGGACGCTGCTCTGTGTGAAGGGCTATGTAAATGCAAGTTGTTGTTGTTGTAGCAGCATGCATTGAATTCCAGCCTGGGTACAGTTGGCCCATATTCCAAGTTCAAAAAACATATATACTATTGTGTCAAGCTTAGAAACTAGTGTAAACTCCCAGCTAACACATCCGTGTTGCAACATCTTTAATGTTTTAGTGTTTGTTTATTTTTATTTTGGTGGACTGCAGGGATCACACAACTGTGTCTGGACTTTGTGAAGGTCCTTTGTGTCCATTCATTTGGTCCGAGGAAGTGATGGTACCTAGATTCACAATAAAGATGCTACTTACGTGCATGGCGAGGATGGTGCGCGGAACTAACTCTCGGTACTGCCGGATGGTAAAGTGCCACGTCTTTATTCTCATCAGATCATCAAAGGTAAACTCCAGAATCAAACGCCCTTCAGTACACACCTGGCAGGTAGGGCATCACAGAGGAAGGCAAGGAGAACGGAGGAGAGACAGAAGAGAGGGGAAGAGAGACAGAGGGGAAAGAATAAGAAAATTACAAAAAAAAAATCGTCACTTATACCAACAAAATAAGAACATAAATAAGTGTTCCATTTCACCTTAAAGCGTGACGACCAAGGGTTTCCTCCCCCAAACTTTGATTAATTGGTTTTGTTTGCACCGTTTCCTTTTCATGTAGTTTTTACAAAGTATCTTTAATACCAGAGGCTTGCAATTAAGAAAACATTTGCTGTTTTGCTCAATTCGGGTTACAGTTCTCTGAGCTGTGACATTTTATTGCCATGGTGACGGGAACCAGCTGATTAGTCGGCATAGCAACCGGAAAGATGTAATTCCAGCAGACACATTCTAATCAATGCTCCCAGCGCAGATGGTCTTTAGAGGATCAACAAGAAAGTCTGGCAGACATCAGCCCATCACATGGCAGCACGAGGCTGTGCCAGGAAACTGGGAACGTTCAATGTGTTTCCCAATCACTGGATCCCCTACGCAAAGTTTGTTGGGGGAAACACATTTCAATTCCTCTATTTTTAATAAACGTGTTTGCATTCATCAAGCTGAGAGTTGTCAGTACTGGGAATGGAACGTTTCCTCCCATTTCAGATAACCACTGATAGCATCGATAGAACGCGCAGCGAAGTTCCCTCTTACTCTTCCTCAACCAGACCAGCTACAATTTGCATTTATATAGTGCCATTCACATGGGGTAGCATCTCAGAGCGCTTAGCAGTGTCCTTCAGCTCTATCTAATTTTAACAAAAGTTCAGGAGAGCACCCCGGCTCATTTCTTTCCGATCACTGGACTGGGGGACACTGAGACAATCTATAGTGCAGTGCAGCCCCAGTACAATGCACTTCTTTGTGGTGCTTGTTTGGTTGCAATGTAATGTAGTCGCTGGGTGGATCCAATTCACTGTGCATGCACCTAGCTGGCTTGCTCGCTTCCCGCATGCTGCTAGACTTTCATTCTGGAATGTTTGGGTCATTATATTTGGGACGTGCAAAGCAGCAAGTGATGTTGCAGTCAACTGATGACCGAGAACTTGGCCAGTTTGGCTTCCTGTGATTTTACCAGCAGTCTAGGTGTGCACTGTAATGTCAGAGCTGTTAAACTGAGATTCCAGTGTCACTTTTCAGGTAGTCACGAAGATCCAATGTTACTAATCAAAAAGAGAAGAGAATTTTCCCCGGTGTTCTTTGCTAATATTCCACCAGACAAATTGGCCATTCACCACATGGCTGTTTGTGGGACCTTACTATGTGTAAATAATTGCTGCACTTGCCAAAAAAAGCAGTCAATATACTTGACACTAATCACTGCAAAAGTACTTTAAGGCATTTTGACATCACAAGGCACTATAAAATGCATGTTCTTTCTTATTAAGTGAGCCACTTCCCTTTACGTAATGGCAAAGGGAAAGTTATGCGGTTGCAAGTGCATCAGGGCAGGGAGGTGGTTGGCAGACTTGTTCTCATCACTGGCAGGTACTACTATGCACACTCAGGTTGGTCATCGTAATAATAATAATCGTTGCATTTGATTTAGCTACTCATCACATCATTGAGATGTCTCAAAGCCCTTCACTGAATATATTGTGAAGTGTTGTGACTGTATATTTTGTGTGCGAAACGTGACAGACACAGCAATGTCCATCAAATAGTTGTGGATTGAATGACCCAATTTTTTTTTAGGGATTATTACCCCTGGGAAGCGATCCACCAATTGACTGATAACTGCTCAGCAAACAGAGGCTTGTGGAATAAGGAAACTTGCCTAATGTTTTGTCCGGCCCAGGAATCGAAACCAGGTCCTCTCGCTTACGAGGCGAGGGCACTAACCACCTTGGGAGTGTTTCTTTAAATATTTCCCCAAATGCCATTATAAATACATTATAAGGAGATAAGCTTCACAGCAGCCCTTTGCTTAGAACCTAGGAATTAGGTTCCTTGGGAAATCAATCCCGCCCACAAAGAGAAGGGGGAGAGAGAATCCATTTAAGAAACAAAATGGATACTGCTTCCGATTCTCAACTGGCGGAGGTGACATCCAGCTCGATTGGCTGGAGTGAGAGTGGCAGAAGGATAAAAAGCACTATCTTTAAATTCAATCCAAAGCTTGCTTCTCAATAGCACAGAACGTAAATGGATTTAAATATGAATTTTCCTGGAGCTAGCTGCTGAGGCTCCGTATTGCCGATTTCAGCAATTTAAAGCCTTGCTCGGTGGTGGGGTGCTGTTTGCAACTTCAATGCTCTGTGCAGCTTTCAATATACACAGACCTTTCATTTAAAAAAAACTTGCGGCGACTCCATGTGATGAAAACATTGTCAGAGCAATACTCAGAAATAAATAAAAAATTTTGACTCAAAGGAGAAACTGAACCCGCAGCAGTTTACTGGGTTTTCAAAGCTAATACTTAAATCTGCTGCAATTCTGAATGAAACAAAAATATTGTATATTATGCAAATTATATGATATTGGCCAAAATTCCTCCTTCACTCAAAATTCATTAAAATAAAGATTATATTGACTTATTCATCTATTTTTGAGCATTTTTTCTGGTGCAGATTATTGGAGGTATCAGTTTGTGTGTAATGGAATATATCACATTGGCTCAGTTGGTAGCAATCTCACCTCAGTAGTTTTTTGGTTCAAATTGATTATTCTCGTTCCTAAGTTCCTATCTCAGCTTTTCCTGTTTTTCCTGTATTTGCTTCCTGGCTCTTACCTTTGTAAACATGGGCTTGCCATGCTGGGTGACCATAGTGCACTGGTCGCAGTCCAGTGTGATGGATGAGTTGTGGTAAGACTCTTTCGAATGTTTTAGAACATAGTAAAGGTCTGTTACTCCTCCCTCAAAGATTGTACTGAAATAACGAGGAATGAGGGTTCGGCCGATAGCTGTAGAAAGATAATCACAAAGATAGAGAACCAGGTAAGCACACGTTACTCGGATTTCTCGTTTGCGGCTCCTGTTGTACATTCATTTTTAAGATAGAAACCACCCAAAATACTGGTTAAAAAAAAGCGAGTCCCCCCCTTTACATTAAATAAACACCTCAGAGTAGTCTGTATCCGGCTAATGTCCAATACCATAAGTGTAGTTTCATGGCTATTGAGAATGGCATCGGAGGGTACATCCACCTTGCATTCATTATAAATACACCAAAGGTTAAGCACAACATAATAAAAGATAAACAAGAGCTCACTTTCACGGATGTCCTTTATAACAATCTCACATTCATATTTCACTGTATTGTAATGCCACTGCTAACCATGTATTCAGTTCTGATGAAGCCATTGCTAAACACAACTTACACACAAATTTAAGGGCAGGGATAATGAAAAGTATGCTGCAACACATCGAGGTATTCAGATATTATCATTAATCTCAAGCAACTGAATCCTGTAACATTACTGCCTTGAAACAAACCTTTTGAAACACAGTTGTTATGCAATATCTGGAAAAATAAAATGAACAACAGATTCTGAGATTTGCAGCAAATCTTTCCAGATAAAACAGACCCAGAAGCATAATACATGAGTCAAAACCCCAACATTTGGAATTTTCATTTGTTATTGGTTTTGGGCAGACGAGTATTATTGGTTTTGGGCAGACATGTCATCCCATTGCCATGCTTAAGAGTATCCAAACCAGATTGAGAGTTCATGTCACCTAGGCATGGAAATTCCTCTACAGTCGAACCTCACTATAATGATCCCTGTTTATAACAAACCCCCGGTTTTAACGATCCCAACAGCAATAAAGTAGGTCAGTGGGGAGATGTACTTCTTTGATAGCCAAACCCTACAATAGTGAACACCCTCATATGACCACTGTTTTTGCCAGTCCCAAGAGGGTTTGTTATAGTGAGGTTCCATTGTATTTAACATGGTACATGGAAATAATACGCAATGGGGGCAAAGGTGCAATATTCACAAATTGCATGTGTTGCATCAGTTGCAACTTTACGATTCACAAAAAATAGCACCATCTTTTGAAAGGTCTGAAACATCTGACACAAGGGTGGAAACATTTTCGACTTGTGTCTTGAAAATTTTCATTTTGTTTCATTTGCAGAGTAAAGAATCACAAATCAGAAGTTGCAATTAACACAATAAATAAATAAGTTTGCGAACATCACACTTTAGATACCAATATGACTGTATTCACATTTCTTTAGCTTACTAAAGCACCAATTTAAAAAATATTCTACAAAAAGGAAATCACCCCTGCCTCTGCCAACAATTGGCAAATACATCATAATGCTGGAGTTTTCCAACCTTTCTGTTTTTATGAAATTTCGCATCAGGTTTGTGAATTTAAATTACGAAGGACGCATATTAGTTTGGCAGGGGAATGAGAGTGATTTATTAGTACCTTTCTAGTAGTTAGTACGGAATCCAAGGGAAAGACGGAAGCACAGAAATTTCTTTTGAAATCTGCTTCTGCATTTCCAGGCAGGGTTATAATCAATCTCAATCAGTTAAAATTTACATTAAAACCAATTTAAACTCCTCCTCCACTCACCCTTTTTCCGAATTCCACCAAAAAAATTCAAGTAAAGTTCCCACATAGAAGGAAATGCAAGGTTAGATTGGAGAAAGTAACAGATAGGCTGGAGGGATGAATAAGAAAGAAGCTAAACATTTTTTTAAAAAAATTCAATCCGCTGATAGCATTTTGGAATGAAAACACTTTTAATATAAATGCAGATGTTACATGCAGTAAAACTAACTGTATTCTTCAATTAAGAAAATGTTTTGGGCAAGTTGATTTCTCTCTGCTTTTCATCTGTGAATTTCAGGCAAAATTACATTCTTTCCACTGGGCTATTGCAGGGCAGGAAAATATAATTGGGCATTTTCTAACCTATCATAAGCTCAACTTCTCATTTAAAAGCCAGTTCTTTTTTAAAGCCTCATTCACTGAACTCCACAGCCTGATTACAGTGTACCCTTTAGACAAAGTCTGCATGAAAAACAGGAAATATTATAACAGACAAAATCCCACCATGTTTCATTGATGGTGGTTAAGCAAGACTCCCAATATTTTTAATTTGAAAAGTTTAAATTATACAGTTGGCACTTGTCCTGAACATAGAGTTTGGTTCAAGTTGATGGTATTTACAGTGTGTTCTGTGAAGCGCTTTGGGACGTCCTCCCGACGTGAAAAGCGCTATATCAAATGCAAGGATTATTATTATTATTATTATTATCTATAAGCTGCCTCACTAACTCTGTGTGTAAATAGGTTGTTTCATGTAACACAGCCATACGGAGTAAGAAGATCCCAGATTTGATACTCGTTTGTGCTGAGTTGACTAATCTCTGCTAGGGCAGTGGCGGATTAGGCTCAAGATACTTGGGCTGTTGAAGAATAACACATCGGACAGTGCCTGCACAAGCATCCCAGCGCAAGCCACTACTGCAGCACAAACAACTGCCTTCAGGAATGGAGCGGAGAAATTGAAAACACAATTTACTACACTGAATCGTCCACTGTTTTTAAAATCTCTGTGAAAACACTATGCAAAATGCACCATTTGATGCAATCACAACACAAACAATATTTCCAGGTCAATAATATTCACATCGAGGCAGCAGTCTATTGACTGGGGGAACCCTGCATTTTCAGCCGCCTCCGATTTGCATTAAAGCTTCCTTCTCTCCAAATTGTACCAAACTGCTGTTACTAAGCAACAGTGCCTTCATGCAACATAAAACAATCACATTGCACCACATTAGCAAACTCTCGTTGATGTTATAGCCTTTCACTGAATTTATCTTTCCTGCAAAATATGTTGTTGCCCTTCATTCCACACCCACCCATTCCCCACAACTTCACAGTACTTTGAGATGGATTCCTGATGTACCCAGCCCACTTTCTATTCCATTGCCCTTAGTAAAAGGTTCTAACGAACCTCTATTTACCACAGGCATCACAACTGTATGAACTGTTATTCTGTGTTTCACATTGATATTGCTCAGTTGGTAACACTCTCGTCTCGTCTCGAGAATGAAACTCGTGTATTCTAAGATGACATTCCAATGCAGTACTGAGCCTGTGCTGTGTTGTTGGAGGTGCCGTCCTTCGGAAAAGATGTTAAAACAAGGTCCTGTCGTATTGTTCAGATGGATGTTAAAGACACCATCACACTATTCAAAAAGAGAAGGGTGTTTCTCTCGGTGTGGTGCATAGTTGGAGGTGCTGTCCTTCGAATGAGGCATTAAACCAATGTCCTATTTTCTTGTTCAGGTGAACATTAAATATCCAGTGGCACTGCTCAAAAAGAGAAGGGAGTTTCTCCCAGTGCCTGGTCAACCAGCCCCCAGATAAAATTGGTCATCCACTTTACACTTCTTTGGCTGCTGCATTGCCTACAATATACACAATGAACAAACAACCGCATTTTACAGGAAATCCTGTGAAGCTCTCTTATTCACATTAATATCTCAAAGTTTCACTTTCTGTGTAATTACTGTCTAGTGTAGTGACTCTTTTTGTGGGAAAGTGTAGAAGCAATTCTGCACCAGTGAGATCCCAAATAATGATGAGGTGAATGACTAATTATTTGGAGGACTGTTCATCAGCACAATGGGAGAAATGTCCTTCCTTTATCAAACAGTTTCATGGGATCTTTAAATTCCAATTGAGAAAAAACAGATAAGATCTAGATTTAAACATCTCATCTAAAGGTCAGCACTTCCAACACATGGAGTCCTCTCGCTCAGTGGTTAGAGCACTCACTTCGCAAGTGAGAGACCTGGTTTCGATTCCCGGCAGGGCGAAATGTTGGGCAAGTTTCCTTACTCCATACACGGTTTACCTAGCAGTAAGTAGGATCCCTTTGTTAGTCGATTGGTGGATTGCTTTTCTGGGGGTAATAATTCCTTAAAAAAATAATAAATTGATAACTCAATCCGTGACTGTTTGTGGGACACTGCTGTGCGCAATTGGCTGCCGCGTTTCGCCCACACAATATACAGTCAATTCATTTTACAATATATTCTGTGAAGCGTTTTGAGAATTCTCGAAAACGTGTTATCAAATGCAAGGATTATTATTATATTATTGTAGTGCTCCTCCAGTATTGCACTGGAATGTCAGCCTCGATATGAGCTAAGTTCTAACTTGGGGCTTGAAGCGACAAACTTTAACCCATAGGCCAGAATGCAAAGCCTCATACACACATTTATACATGGTACATAGTAAATGTGTGCTCACACATGATTTACACATGTTACACGGTGCACAGTGTTGGGAAGTGGTGAATGTATGTGCTATTTTGAGGTATGTGCTGTAGAGAATAATCCACAAATATAAAAATTCTTAAACTGTGTGTCAAGGTCCAGCAGTCCTGTTTTACAGACATTACTGCTTAAAAGCGAGACGCATAAACACTAATATGTGTTATTCAATTGCCAATCACTCTTGACACTCTATAGTTTAATTAGTTTAGTCTAACATAGTAATCTGATCATGCCAACACTAATTTGCTTTTGCACCCAACGGGCTTTCACCCAAGAGTGGACACATCAAACGGCAGTTCTACATTACTGTTTCTAGCTAAATTACTGAAAGTATTCCTGACGTAAATATCCAAGCTGTTTTCCTGCTCAAATCCACTGTCTTGAATATGCAACAATTTAAGCCATTATTGCTTTTTCAGGACAGTGGGATTGAGCAGAGCAGCTTCATAAATGGCTTGATTGCCAGAAATAGGACTTTTCAAAAGTAGACAAAATAATGTAAAGTGTACCTTATGGAGGAAACCCCATGCATGTCATGCTAACTCAACCATCCCCAACTTAAGCCTGCCTTGGAGCAGGTTCTCGTGAGCCAGCGAGCATATATACTGTATAAGTCCTGTAGCGCTGTGGTTAGAGCAGTCGCCTCG